TGTGTGTGTGTGTGTGTGTGTGTGTGTGTGTGTGTGTGTGTGTGTGTGTGTGTTGCATAACAGCGGTGAAGATCAAACGTTGTGCTTGTCCTGCCGCAGCAGGGGGGTGAACGGGTGTGTGCACGTGGGGCGGTGGGTGTGTGCACGTTTGTGGGGGTGAGTAAGGCACTTAAGTGACGACAGCAGTGTGAGCGGACAGAACCAAGGCTGGTGTGTGTGTGTGTGTGTGTGTGTGTGTGTGTGTGGAACGTCAGAAACAGGCCGAGGCGGCTGCTGCAGGGGGAAACGGTTCTGACCCGGTCCAGTGTGGGTTTTTGGTGCAGAACAATAATAAACAGAAGAGGCAGGAGATCCGGCTGACAGACGCTGATGTTTGTGCAAAAAGCCCGGAGTGAGGCGGCGCTCTGCAGGCAGGAGAACACTGATTAGAACCAGATTTGATCCACTTATGAAGAACCAGGTTCAGGTTCTGGTTCTGGGGACTCACCTGGTCTAGGTGCTGTGCTGTCGGGGCTCTGGCTTCTCCTCCACTTCCTCCACCTCACAGTCGTCTCCGGCGGAGTGGAACTCGGCCACGTAGAGGCTCTTATCGATGCTGCCAGGGATGGGCTTGATGTCGGTCACCAGCTGCTCCTCGATGGCCTTCAGGTTGAAGCGGTCCTCCGACGTGATCAGGTTTATGGCCAGACCCAGGTGACCGAACCTCCCTGAGGACCSAGGGGGGTTGGAACATAACGTTAGCCGTGACAACAAGGCTAGCAGAAGAACCGCTCCTCCGGAGTCACACCAACCTGAGCGTCCGATCCGATGGAGGTACGTTTCTGCGTTTTTAGGGAAGTCGAAGTTGATGACCACGTTCACGGCCTGGATGTCGATTCCTCTGGTGAAAAGATCTGCAGGAAACAAAAGCAGACATCAGTGTCCATCCTCTCTGATCGTTACCACGTCTCAGTCAATCACTGCAGATCACACAGCTCCTGTCACTCATGGTGTCCCTCAAGGCTCAGTGCTCAGCCCACTCCTCATTCTCTGCATGTTACCCCTCAGACACTTTATGGACCAACATGGACGTTTGTAGTATCGGCAGATATTGAGGGGAGATGTTTGGTTGAGTGGTATCTGATCAGGACGGTGACGCTGAACAGCCAGAATAACTAGAGTCACGTCAGTGGCTGCTTGTTTTTTACAGTATCAAAAAAAGTTTGTCCTACATCTGTAAATATTGATTATTGGCCATAACAGCAATAACAATAACAACAACAACAACAACAACAATATTGGCAAAAAACATTTATACCGGTGTATCCCTAGGCTAGCATTTGGCTACTCTTAGCTAGCATTGCACTTCTTTAAGCTATTATTATTTCACCACTTTCGGCTACTTCTGGAAGTCAAACAAATATGAATTATTTTGTTTTTTTATTATAAACAAACAACAACAACAACGAAGTATAAATTCAAACATGAAAGCGTAGAACTCACCGGTGCAGACCAGGTTTCTGCAGAGTCCGTTTCTGAAGTCGTGAAACACTCGGTTTCTGTATTCCTACAAACAAACATAAAAACAAACAAACAAACAAACAGGAAATGTTTTTAAAAATAACAGATAAATGTGAAAACTGATTTATCCAAACGGCTCAGAGTTATCTGCTCCTGTTTTCATCCCAGAGGCCTGCCTCTCTGAAGGTATGGGGGTGCAGACATGTAGTTTACAGGTTAAGGATGTTCTGCTGGGTACGAACCAGTGAACGGGTCAGAACCAGGCCAGGTCTCACCTGCATCATCTTGGCGTGGATGTAGAAGCAGGAGTAACCCAGCTGAGTGATCTTTTTGGCCAGAAGCTCCACCCTCTGGGTGGAGTTACAGAAGATGATGGACTGGTTGATTTGAAGCTGTGAACAGAAAGAGGTGTCAACGTTAGCTCCTCCTCCTCCTCCTCCTCCTCCAGGAGGACCCTGAAGATGAAGCTTACCCTGGAGAAGAGCGTGTTGAGGCAGTGCACCTTCTGCCGCTCCGTCACGTAGGCGTAGAACTGAGTGATGCCCTTCAGAGTCAGCTCCTCCATCAGGTTGATCTCGTACGGTTTCTGAAGGTGCTTCACCTGCAGACACAAACAACGGCTCAGACCCAAAACCTGACAGGGTCCAGGTCTACAGGAGTCCACGGGTCCAGGAGGCGGAGCCAGAGCCACTCACCATGAACTTCTGAACGCTGATGGGGAAGGTGGCCGAGTAGAGCAGGATCTGCCGGTTCTTGGCCAGGAAGCTGATGATGTCCTCGATGAGGACCACGAAGTCCTGAGAGAGCAGCTTATCGGCCTGGAGAGAGGAGAAACAAACTGTTCACCAACATGACAAACAACAACAACAACAACAAACAAACAACAAACACTTACCTCATCCATCACCATCATCTGGACTCTGTCCACTTTGGCCACGCCCTTTTTTATTAAGTCCAGAATACGACCGGGGGTGGCGATGACCACGTGCACTGACAACACAAACACAGGAGCTGAGCACCTGTTTATGACATCACAGCCCCGCCCCCTCACTCAGGTGTGCCCCGCCCCCTCACTCAGGTGTGCTCTGTACCCAAACTTTTAGACGTTCAAGAAAATCATCAGGGTTTAAACTTTTATCACATTTAAAGCTAACATTAGCAACAAGCTACAAGAGTTAGCAGATGCTTGCTAACGAGGCTAAAAGCTAGTCAATGTCGGCTCATCGGGATCTGAACGTGACTTTACAAACARCAGAACCAAATAAATATAAATAAAACCTGCTGACTCATGCTTAGCTGAAAACAAAATTTTAAGCATTAATCAGCTGAAAACAAAACTTTAATCATTAATCAGCTGAAAACAGTCTGGTTTAAAATCGGCTCTTGTCTAAGCAGCTGAAGTTTCAGGTATTTGTTTAGAATAATTTACATGTTTAACTTGTTTTTGCTGAAAGATAAAATAWTTTTTTTCTTTCCAGCAGCTGTTTTTGAGTCACAGTTATTTCCGTTGTCAGTTTTTGGTCGTAGACTCTTACCGGTCTCGTCCAGGCGCATGATGTCGTCCCKCAGGTTGGTGCCGCCGGTGGTCGCCATGACTTTGACTCCTCCCAGGTGTTTGCTGATCTGGATGCAGATCTGACTCACCTGCAGCGCCAGCTCACGTGTTGGCACCATGACCATGGCTGTGAGGAGACAGACAGACAGACGGAGGAGGAGGTCAGAGAAGAACCGCAGGTTCCATCAGAACCTGGACCTGACAGGAACCCACCCTGGATGTGGTCCTTCTTCAGGTCGATCCTCTCCAGCAGCGGGATCAGGTAGGCGCCGCTCTTCCCCGTCCCGTTCTTGGCTCGAGCCAGAATGTCCCGCCCGGACAGCGCGATGGGGATGCTCTCCTCCTGAGGACCCAYCAGAACATCTGTTAGAACTTTAACTCTGATGTTCAACACGGGTCCACCTGGTACCAAACTTTAGAMGAACCGGGTCACTGGGCCTGCCCGGATCGATGAGCTTAAGGCTAGTCTTGTTGTCGTAAATTTACTCATCTTTTAAAATTCCACCTTTTTTTAAATCCCCCTTTTTGTATTATTTTTGATATAATCTTTATATATTTATATTTAAAGGTAACAACTGTGTTTGTTACATGACCGGTTCCACCTGTTCCCCCATGTTTGTCTTGTTTGTCTTCTTGAATGGATGTTTCTTAACTGCCCCCTCCCCCTTTCCTATAAATCCTTACTATAAATAAAACTTTACTTATTTATTACCTATTTACATTATCACTCATGTTTTCATTTTACATTGTGCATTTAATAGATTTTTTTCTTGTATTTGATTAATATATATTTATTTATTTACCCCCTTAAGCAGCTGATTCATTTTTTAAAAACTTTTATTTATTATTATTTTTTAAATTTAATAAATTTTGTGTACATTACCCTATATTTATTAATTACCAATCCTCAAACATCGGTATTTTGACTAATATTAAGACCAATCACATTTTGTTTTACTTTACAGCTCAGTTTATTTATTTATTTCACTTCTTTCTCTGTACCTTTTTGTTTGTTTTGGTTCTTTGCTTTGTTAAGAAATGTTGCACAATTGTCTACGTTTGTTTTTAGTGTTTTATTGTGTTGTAAATAAAAAACAAAACATTACCTTCACWGGAAGTGCTACAACTAGCTGCTACTGCAGCCACATCTTAAGAGTTCTGGTTAATTAGGAGCTCAGACTAGCCGTTTGCTCGTCAGAATCATTAGGGAGGTGGTTTAAGCAGTCATCTACGACAGGTAAGATATTAACTGTTCATAGTTTTGTTCTGACTCGTTATGAAGACAGGAAATGAAAGCGAGCCCACCTGGATGGGGGAGGGTTTCTCCCAGCCCATCTCAAAGATGCCCATCAGCAGCTCCCTCTTCAGACAGTAATCTTCAAACTCGTTGCCCTTGGTGGACGTGACGTCCTGCGGAGACAGCGTTCACTCAGAGGACAGAGGACATCTGAAGCTAACAGGAAGTGGACGGAGACTCACCGAGGTTTTGACCCTGTTGTCCTTCGGCGGGAGCTGGAGGCTCTTCTTCCAGTCGTCTCCGAACTTGATGCCGCCGCCGCCGCCGTCCTGGTTGGCGCCGCCGGGTTTCTGCAGAGCGCCCAGACTCTTCCCCGGAGCCGTGGGCGGGGCTGGGACCGAAGCGGGCCTGTTGAGTCCTCTGAGCTGCCCGTTCTGCTTGTTCAGTCCCAGAACCAGCGGGCCCACGCTCTCTGTCCGGGTCGTYGCCATTTTTATTTGATTTTGTACAAATTTTCTGTTTCTCAGTCCTCCGAGAAATTATTGTTGCTTCTTAGATTTTTAACTCTTTAAAAATATCTTCAAAAGTTTAAAAAAAAGTTTGATAAAGCGTTAATATTTTGTGTCCAAAGCTTTTCAAATCGATTGTATTTACATATAAACACGCACGTGTACGTGCACTACAGCCCTCTTCAACAAGAGTGACTGATGCACAAAACAACAAAAAACACGTTTTTATACAAGAGCTCTTCAAAATGAAGAGAAATCTGCCTTCATAGCAGAATAAACTCGTTCAGCTTATAGAAAATTATAGGTGAACGAGCGTCGAAGTGGGTCAGGTCCTGAAACAGAACAACTAAGGCAATCTGCAGCTCCTTCACAAGAAATCAGTTTATAACTCAGAGTCTGGAGCTGCTGCTTCTCTGCTCCTGAGAAACAAAAACAACAAAAAACAAAGGTTGATTTGTACAAGTTCTTCCCCAGAATCCTGCCGTCCCTTTAGCTCCACAGAGACCGTTTGTTGCTTCATGTGAGGAAAACAAAACGATAAGAAAAGACCCAACGAGGGCTTATCAGGTCCGCCCTTGTTGAGTCTTCAGTGTGAGAGCTGCAGGTGTTCACCCTCCTCCACCWGCGTGTTCCGCTCGGCCGTCACCGACTCCACACAACTTCCCYTGCAACAAAACACAACTCAGAGTCAAAAACACAAAACAGACACAAGAATCACGTTTTAAACCTGCGTTAAACACAGATCAGCTGCAACAGAYTTCACCTGTTTGTTCCTTTAATCTCTAATCAAAGGGTTTTCTTCAAGTTTTTGTTCATGCTGAAATGAAACTGAGTTTCTCAGCTTTTACAAACTCTACTTAAATAATCCTGGTATCAAAATAAAGCAACACTTGGGAGATTTAAGTAATAAAACAGCTGCTGTGGTTTTACAGATATGTGAGCCGTCACATCGAAACCAGGATTAAGTCCAAAAGTTGTAAATGGAGAAAAAGGCAAATATAATGTTTTGATT